CTCTAAGGTTAAAGGGTACAGATTCTGGGGTGAGCACACAGGGTGAGATGACTTCAAGGTGATTCAGAGTCAGGACCCCTTATCATCATGATGTATGGACCTAGTTTTTAGAACTATTAAAAATTTATGTGTTCCTTATTGGTATTTTACCATACTTTGTTGGGCCAGGTAGAGGTTTCACCTCCTAGAAGATGAGAGATTTGAATTGAGAACTTGGTTTCCTCTCTAGGTTGTTTGACTAGTTTATCCCGTTACAAACACACTGTTGTCTTTGGGTTCCTTGCTAATTGTGTGTGACCACTAATAGCACTGATGAGGCAACTGGGATGAGCCAACTTAACAGCTTTTGTTATTAAAAAAATTTTTTTTAAATATTTGTTTATTTTTGAGAGAGAGCATGAGCAGGCGAGGGGCAGAGAGAGGGAGACACAGAATCTGAAGCAGGTACCAGGCTCTGAGCTGTCAGCACAGAGCCCGATGCGGGGCTTGAACCCCCAAACCTCGAGGTCATGACCTGAGATGAAGTCGGACGCTTAACCGAGTCGGCCAAGCACCCCCAGTTTCTTTTGTTACTATTTTACCTGATACAGAATTTTTATAAACAAACATTTAATACTCTATAAAAGAAACTACATCGCCTTATATGTTAATGCTTTCTAGTTTTAAAATCATAGCTTATAACATAGCTTATCTTAGTCACCTTTCTTTTTTATTAAAACAATCTTTGTGTACACTTGATATTAACTTTTCCTCTGAAAGTGTTGTGAACACAAGGCATTTCTAAGACTCAGTATGTTTCCATAATAATAATTTCCTTCTCCTTGGCCTTTTTTGATGCCCAAATTGTCACAACTCAGGGCGAGTTCTTCTTACATGAACTTCTTTGCCCATGCAGCAGGGTTCTTGATGCTTTTGGGTTCATTATTGCTGTCCTCGTTTTTGTCCTGTTTCACAATATGGCATTGGCTTGTCTCCGAGGAGTCCTGGTTCATTTTAGTGGAGAACTATACTGAAAACTACTCGGGCATGAGAACTAGTCATGGTTAAAGCTCTGTGCCTAGTGTTAGGTCAGTTTTAGTAATGACAGAACTGGGGGGAAATGTGTCTTTTTAAGATGATGAAGTCCCACCAACATTTCCAAATTTGTCTAATTATATTGCTTTACAATGCAGGGTTCTGTCGGCCACTAAGAATTTCTATGATGTTCACCTGTTCTATCACCAGTAATTTTTATATCACGCTTTCCATCCCTCTGCTTTAAACCATAATGATGCCAAAGGTGGTGTTTCAGAGACCTTTGAAAAGTTTTGACAGACAAATCTGATAACCTCTTGTATTCCATCTTATTAATAAAGTAGCTACCTTTTATTAAGGGCCTAAACTCAGACTCTGAAGCTAAGCTGCCTGAGTTCAAATCTCCACTCTGCCACTTACCTAGTCATGTAATCTTGGGTGAGTTACTTAACTGTTCTGGGCCTTAGTTTGCTCATCTGTAAAACAGAGTCTTCTCTTTACCTTGGTATCTTCTTCATAGAGTTGTTACGAGGATTAAATTAATACTAAGTGATTAGAAAAGTACATGGCTCATAGTAAATGCCATATGTGTTTACTATTTCTCCAGCTGTATGGGTCCCAGGGTCTCCTCTCATTTTATGTATTTCCTTCTCCTCCTCCTCCATGCCTTCTTTTTAAATATTTTTTTTTTCTTTTTTAAAAATTTTGAGAAAGTGTGAATGGGGGAGGGGGAGAGAGAGGAGTGAGAGGGAGAGAGAGAGAATCCCGAGCAGGCTCTGCTCTATCAGCACAGAGACCCACATGGGGCTCAAACCCACAAATTCATGAGATCATGACCTGAGCGGAAGTTGCATGCTTAACCAACTGAGCCACCCAGGGGCCACACCTTTTTTTTTTTTTTTTAAATAGAGAATGTGGATCATTTTGGTCTCTGAATTCATCGTTTGTACTTACTAATGCTTACACTCATTAGATTTTGAACCCCCACCCCCCACCAGATCCCTAAAAGTTTGTTCCATTAACCAATTCAAAATCTCCCCGGTACAAAAATATGTCCATTCGTTTTCCCTTTTCTTTTTTTCCAAGCAATTTTTTTTTATGTGCCTGCCTCTTGAAGGACTATCCCATCCCCGATTTCCGATATAGAAAATGTTATTAAAATAAAATTATAAGCATATGCCTCCATAAGGTCCATAAGCTTCCTGAAACTGAACAGA